TCCTTGGAAACCCTATGGGGCAGTTCTACTCTGTCCTGTAGGGTCGCTATGAGTCGGAATCAACTTGATGGCAATGGGTTTGGGTTTTTTTTTTTTTTTACATACTCTTGGTACTAATCCTTGGTCAATTTGATAGACTGCAAACATCTCATCCCAGGCTATGGCCTGTCTTTCACTCCTATAGTGATGCCTTTTGATGGAGAGAAGTTCGTGTTCACATAGTCTGGTATTTCCATCTTTTATGTCATCCTCAGCTCTTCTTACATCTTGTTTAGCAAGTTCTTCTGTACCCCAAGGTGAAGGCCTTCTGAGGATGAGCTTGGTTTTGGACCTTAAGTCTTAACCCACGTGGGTTGATTTTTATTCAGGGACAAGCTCACTACCCCTGGTACTGCAGTGGGCACTGCCCACCTCCAGGAGGCTTGGGGACCTTCAGAGCGGCCCCAGTAGTGTGTGAGTTACAGGTCCACTTCATTTTCCCCATACAGAAAACCAGTCACAGAAAACCAGTCTTTCCAGCTCCATGGGTTGAACAGTCTGTCCTTTTGGACATGAAACTCTGCATGCATCAAAGTTCCGTATACACGCGCATGTTAATTTCTGTCCTTTCTTATATGAAACCTTGCATGCATCGAAGTTCTGTATACACACGCATGTCAATTTCTGGACTCTTGATTCTGTCCCCTTGGTCAACAGGCGTGAATAGGCCTTCATATTTGTACCCAGATGTTATTTTCTTGGTCACATGAAATACGTTCAATGGTTTCAGAGCAGTTCTGCATCATAGAGTCAAAGTTGCTAACCGCACATTATTTTACTACCGGACTTAAAATTGTAATTTTGCCTCCAAGGAAAAATGCTACCAGTACTGGCCAGCAGAGGGCTCCGTTACCCACGGAGAAATAACCATCGAGCTCAAGAGCGACACCCTGTCTGAGGCCATCAGCATGAGAGACTTCCTGGTCACCTCCAGCCAGGTAGTGTTGCCAGAGCTCTTTCCACTCTTGCAGATGGGGCCAGCTGCACCTGTCACAGGGCTCTGCCAGGCCTTGTACAGAACGTGGCCCCAAGCCTGCCGTGCCCCTCCTCCTTTCCCTGAGTCCCACTTCATCACGAGAGGTCGGTGTTTTCATGGGGAGCCACGTTGCCAAGTGGCAGATCCCCATAAGGTAGTGGAAGGACCCCCATGGTCACCTGGTCCTTGCTGCAGTGGTGGGGCAGAGGGGCCACTCTGAGAGGCACCCCGCTGGGCTTCCTGCCCCCAGTGCCCGCTGGGAGAAATGCAGTCAGCCAGGAATGGGATACAGGGGGAAGGAAGCACAGGGACCCCGCCAGCACCCTCCAGGCAGCCTTCTCAGATCCCCAGCATCCACCTTTCCCTCCGGTCCTGAGCGTGGCCGGCATCACGGTGCTGACTTGGGAAGGAATAGAAGCTCTCCAGGTAAACACTGAGGAAAATGACCCTATGGGTCCTGGCCTTGTCTCAGCTCTAGAAGGTCCGTACAGCAAAGCCCAGCACCCAGGCCTGTTCTCCCCATGCCAATAGCAGAGCCGTCCAGTGCTGCTGGCTCAGTGACCGTTCAGCCCAAGCCTCTGACGATAATAGGGGACCTGGCTCCCCAAGAACAAGCAGCTGCCCCTTCTCTAGAGCAACACTGCTGGATCCCATAGACAGGCAGGGCCTCTGCTCTCCTGGTCCCCCCTACCCATAGATGGGCAGGCAGGGCCTCTGCTGTCCTGGTCCCCACCCCCGTAGACAGACAGGCACTTTGCTGTCCTGGTCCCCATTCAGGAGGAGGCCAGCAAACTGGGAGTGCAGGGTCAGGGTGAGCGGGTGGGCACAGCTGAAGCCAGCCAGGGGCCTTGGGACAGGGGGTGGGTCACATCCCGAGTCCAGGAGGGCGGTAGGTGGGGCTGACACACCTGTCCACCTGCAGCCACTGAGTCGGCAGGAGGACCAGAGCCGCGTGGTGCGCCAGTTCCACTTCCACGGCTGGCCCGAGGTGGGGATCCCCGCAGAGGGCAAGGGCATGATCGACCTCATCGCGGCCGTGCAGAAGCAGCAGCAGCAGACGGGCAACCACCCCATCACCGTGCACTGCAGGTGAGGCCCCCAGCCCAGTACCCCCATAGGTGAGGCCCCTGCCCCCCATCACTGTGCACCACAGGTGAGGTCCCTGGCCCAGTCTCCCCAACAGGTGAGGTCCTCGGCCCTACTCCCATACCAACCCCACAGGTGAGGCCCCCGGCCCTACTCCCACACCACCCCCACAGGTGAGGTCCCCGGCCCTACTCCCACACCACCCCATAGGTGAGGCCCCCGGCCCTACTCCCACACCACCCCATAGGTGAGGCCCCCGGCCCTACTCCCACACCACCCCATAGGTGAGGCCCCCGGCCCTACTCCCACACCACCCCATAGGTGAGGCCCCCGGCCCTACTCCCACACCACCCCATAGGTGAGGCCCCCGGCCCTACTCCCACACCACCCCATAGGTGAGGTCCCCGGCCCTACTCCCACACCACCCCCACAGGTGAGGCCCCCGGCCCTACTCCCACACCACCCCATAGGTGAGGACCCTGACCCCCATCACCATACACTGCAGGTGAGGCCCCCCGCCCAGTCCCCCCACAGATGAGGCCCCTCACACCCCTCCCCATCCCCTATAGAGCTCCCCCTTGTGCAGGCAGAGTTGGCCTTCGTGCCCGACTGAATTGCGGCCACAGGCAGGGCCTTTGGTGTTTTTATTTTTGTTTTGTCTTTTCTCCTCTTCGTATCTAAGTGATGTCATACAGCGTTTGTCCTTTCGTGACTGGCTTATTTTGCTCAGCATAATGTCTTCAAGCTCCATCCGTACTGTAGCGTGTATCAGGACTTTCACGTCTCCTGCGGGCTGAGTAGTATTCCGCTGGACGAATGTGCCATGGTTTGTTTATCCGTCATCCATCTGTTGATGGGCATTTAGCTCGTTTCCACCTTTCAGCTATTACAAACAGTGCCGCAGCGGACAGGGGTGTACTTGCCTCTTTTCGAGTCTCTGCTTCCAAGACTTTTGGGTATACACCCAGGAGTGGAATTGCCGGGTCGTAGGGTATAGGGTCGCTATGAGTTGGAATCGACTCCACGGCAGCGGGTTTGGGTGTTTTTGGTTTTATGGTGGTTCTAATTTTAGTTTTTTGAGGAACCACCACATTGTTTCCCACAACAGCTGTACCAGTTTGCATTCCCACTGGCAAGAGATAAGGGTTCCAATTGGTGTTTTTACTCTTGAGTGGTGCTACTTTGCTCTAAGATTTTCTGTGAAGGTCATTTGCCCCCACTCGCGCCCACCCTACCTGTGTAGCCAGCAGAGCCGGATTTGGGGGTTTTGGACTCTTTCCTCGTTTGGGACCCGCCGGGTGCACTCCTAGCCCAGCCAGCAGGTGGCGCACACGCACCGGTCTTCGGTCCCTGCTAGGTGCCCTTCTGACCTCTTTTAGAACAAATTCTAAGTGAGCTCCTTCTTGCTCTGCTTCCACAAACTCCGCCCAAGAGTTTAGCTTGCCGGGGACACTGGAGGTACAAGGTGCACGAGATTTGCGCCCAGTCCCCAGGGCGTCCGACCTGTCCAAGGCAACTTGGGGCAGGTCAGCGCAGCAGGACAGAAGCCTTAGGGCCAGAGGCCGAGCAAGGGTGCAGGGCAGCCTTGGATGCAGAGGGCGCGTGCCTGCAGGAGGCCGGCCAACCCCTCCTCCCGGAGCTCGCTGGGACTCCCCAGGAGGGCCTGGGCTCTGATCTTGTGGGGCTTTTCCAGTTTGAGGAAAACAATCATCTCAAACGGAGCTGACCCCATTGACTGCAGGAGTGTCATCTGTCCCACTTTCCCTGGCAATCACACTGTCTTAACATCCCCTAAACCCTGCCTTTTGGCACCACCCGTTTCAGCAGGGCGCCCCTAGCACAGCAACCCCAGCTGGTGCGAGCATTACCCCTCCCGAGACCTGTACCAAGGAGCCTTAGTGACGCAGTGGTTAAACACTGAGCTGCTAACCGAAAGGTTAGCGGTTGGGACCCACCCAGCGGCTCCGCAGTACAAAGATCTGGCAATCTGCTTCTGTAAAGATTACAGCCTAGGAAACCCTATGGAGAAGTTCTGCTCTGTCACATGGGGTCACTATGAGTCGGAGTCGACTCCACAGCACACAAGACGTGTACCGGGAGCGCTTGCGTTTCTAACAAGTTCCTAGGGATGCTGATGCCATTGGTCCAGGAACCCCACTTTGAGAACCACTGGACTGCACAAGGGAGAATGACCACACAGTAGCTTAAAACACTTGCACCTGGTCCCGATCCCGTTCATGAAATATCCATCCGCTGTTAATAAGGGGCCCCGATTCCGTTCATGAAATAGCCATCCGCTGTTAATTAGGGGCCCCGATTCCGTTCATGAAATATCCATCCGCTGTTAATCAGGCGCCCCAATTCCGTTCATGAAATATCCATCCGCTGTTAATTAGGAGTCCTGGGGGCGCAGTGGGTAAGAGCTCGGCTGCTAACCAAAAGGTCAGCAGTCCAAATTTACCAGGCGCCCCTTGGAAACCCTATGGGGCAGTTCTACTCAGTCCTATAAGGTTACTATGAGTCGGAATTGACTCAGCGGCAACGTGTTTTGGGGTTTTCGTGTTTTTTTGGTTTACGGTTAATTAGTGGTTTAGGAACTTTATGTTGGCTTCATCTTGTTCAGAGGCCAGGCCACACATAAACGGTCATGAAGACCTACCCAGTTTTTGGTGACCGTTGCCTCCATAGCGATGCGTAGGGGTGGGCAGCCGCTTCTCAGGGCCATCTCCAAGCTGGGTTATCTGCAAGAAGCGCTTTCTCCCCACAGTGCCGGAGCTGGGCGAACGGGTACCTTCATTGCACTCAGCAACATTCTGGAACGAGTCAAAGCCGAGGGGCTCTTAGATGTGTTTCAAGCTGTGAAGAGTTTACGACTTCAGAGGCCACATATGGTGCAAACCCTGGTAAGAAACTGAACGACGAGGCTGTTTCCAGAAGAGCCGAGAATTGTTTTATGTTGTATTTGATGTACGTTTCATTAAAGGAACTCCAGAACATGGAGAGGGCAGAGGTAAAGCTCCCAAGGAAGAGAGCTACTGGGAACTTTGTACACGAAAGCTTTGCAGACCTCCTTCCTTCCGCGGGTCTCTGGCTCGGGTCTGCTCTCAGGGCAGGAGGAAGGACAAAGGGCTTGTGTCTGACTTTTGATTACTAAGACCCTGGAATGAGGCACTGCTGATAGCAGCTTCCGAGTCCAAGTGCACTATCGTACCGGATCCCGGTGTGCGCTTAAAAGCATAGTGTTAGAACGTGCAGAAGCAGCACTAGCATTTAAAATCCCGGGACTCATCATGTTCTGTGTTACACCGCTCCATTTGGACTGTTTTCCTTGGCTGGTCTCAATCTCAGGATACACTCCAGGGGCTTAAAGAACCCATGTAGAGCACCATTATCCTACACATTCTTTCACTGTGTGCTGGAAACCTGCACTCTTTTCGGGTTTTTGGAAGAAATACCTTCTCACCAAACTCGGTAATGGCTTCTTCTAAACCAGCAGGTGCACTTCCATGTTCCCCAAAGCTTCCTGTTTTAGGATACGTCCTCCTTACCTGCTTCGTCCTCCATGCTGACACTGCACAGAAAGGTGGGAGAGCCCTCCACCCACCTCCCATCTCAGCACGACAACCAGAGGACCCCCTGAGCCGAGGGCTGGCTTGCCTCCCAGGGGCTGGGAAGCCTGCTTGGCCTAGTGGGGTTCCCAGCCCTGGCTGCACTTACTCCCCGGGGAGGGTTCACGTCCAGTTGTCCAGGCTGCGCCTTAAACCACCAACAAAAAGACAGTTGCCATCGAGTCGACTTTGTCTCATGGTGACCTCATGGCTGGAAGTGAGAACTCCTAAAGTCTGCTCTTGGCTCTCCCAAAAGCTTCCCGTGTGATCTCAGCACCAAAGTTTCCGGTGTGCCTTATCTTACTCTGGGTGGAGCAAGTGGTTAAGCACTGAACCACTAACTGAAGGGTTGGCAGTTCAGACCCAACCAGAGGCACCTCAGAAGTAAGGTCTGGTGATCTGTTTCTGAAAGGTCACAGCCTTGAAAACACTACGGAGCAGTTCTACTTCACAACACACAGGGTCACCATGAGTCAGAATCAACGCGACAGCAACTAATGACAACAAGCCTCTGCCGAGGCTGCCGCAGTTCAAATACCAGGTGCATGACTTGGGGGATCAGCTTCTTCTCTGTGCAGCCCCGAAAGTCTACCAGGCCTTCGCCTTCAGTCAAAGAAAGCCCACTGTACACAGTGGCGTCACTGAGGGATGCGGGGGTGTGGACTGCACCAGGTGACACCCACCGTCAGAGGAGGTGACACCAAAAATGACTGTCTATAAAATTTTTGTGCAGTGTTTCAGCAGAAATTTATTTTTCATAAAAATATCCCTGTAGTTAGTTACAACAACAAAAACATTTTTCATAAGCCCAGGTTGTTGTTGTTAGGTGCTGTTGAGTCAGTTCCGACTCACAGCGACCCCGTGTACAACAGAAGGAAACACTGCCCAGACCTGCGCCATCCTCACAACTGTTGTTATGCTTGAGCCCATTGTTGCAGCCACTGTGTCGATCCATGTCACTGAGGGTCTTCCTATTTTCTGATGACCCTCTACTTTACCAAGCATGATGTCCTTCTCCAGGGACTGATCCCTCCTGATGACATGTCCAAAGTATGTGAGACAAAGTCTCGTCATCCTTGCTTCTAAGGACCATTCTGGTTGTACTTCTAAGACAGATTTGCTCATTCTTTTGGCAGTCCATGGTATGTTTAATATTCTCCACCAATACTTGTAAGCCCAGCTTATATGTATCAATATACCTACAAGGCTAAAACTCTTTACTGATTTACTTTCTGAACCTTCTAACTCGCTCCAGTCAGAGCTGCCATTATTACCCAATTACAATGACACTTGGAATCACGTGGTTTTGTCTGCACACGCTACAAGCACGTGCTGTTGTTTTCATTGATGCTGGTGTTTTTACAGTTGCTGATTTTGTCAAATTTTCTGATGTTTTAGCTATAATATTGTGGTAATTAGTATTTGTGAACCTATATCAACAAGATGGATTGACACAGTGGCTCCAACAATGGGCTCAAGCATAACAACGATTGTGAGGACGGCCCAGGACCGGGCAGCGTTTCGTTCTGTCGTACACGGGGTCGCTATGAGTCGGAACCAACTCAACAGCACCTACCAACAACATAAATAAAGTAGTAATTAAAGGAAAAGGAGGAGTAAAGTCAAAAAAGGCTTCCGCTCAGTTAGTAATAATATTGTAACTAAGTGTTGTAATTCAACGTAGAAAGGCTTTACAAAACAGTTTTGTTCTAGTATTCATATAATCAGAAATATTACATTTAAACAATTTACAACTATATCACATATTATTCTATGATTAAAATTGATAATAAACATTACTAAGCATTCTGTATGGTCTGGAACAGGAGGTCCATGGGGGGAGAGGGGTGACACCAGGAGTTACCACACTGGGTGATGTCAACCCTAGTGACACCACTGATTGTACATATCAAAATTTTCAAGTTTTTCTATGTTGCATCCATTAAAATGCCAAATAGGACTGCCATCACCACCAAGCTCCATCCCTGCTTGGTCAGACTGAGACTGTGAAAGGGCCGGGTGGGCAGTATTTGGCATCTTTCAACCGGAACACCTTTAGATGCTTGTTCAATGTGTATTTAGAGAAGAGGTTGAACCCTATGTGTTGGAAAAGCAGAGTGGGAGGGTGCTGGGGCTTCCGATTCCCCAGCCTGCACTGCGGGCCCCACACTCACATGTCCTACTGGACCAACTACCAGAGTCTGCAATTAACCTGACCCTTTTACCTGACAGACAGGCTAGCTGCCTTCTGTTGTAACTCAAACCTTTGTCGTCCTTCCCCTGCCCACCGACTTTATACCCACAGAGTTTTGGAGCCCTGGTGGCTCAGTGATTAAAGCGATCGACTACTAACCCAAAGGTTGGTGGTTCAAAACCACCAGTGGCTCTGTGGGAGAAAGATGTGGCAGTCTGCTTCCGTAGAGATTTGCAGCCTCAGAAACCCTACGGGGTCACTATGGGTCAGAACTGACATGGCAGTGGGTAGTGGGTTTTTTTCTCCTTTTGGTTTTCCAAATACAGTAGGTTCTTCAAGAAAGGTTTGGCAGGTCTCACTTTCTTCATCTCTTTCATTTCTTCCCATAGGCACCGCCCAGCTGGTCCCCATGAGTCCACTAACCCACCCCTGGTCCTACCTACCTCACAGGGTGGCTGGGAGAACCACAGTTAAATAACGCTTGAAAGTGTTTTAATAACGTAATGCCTGGTAAAATGTAAGGCACTATTCTTTTGAATCCTAGTAAAGTTTATATCTCATTTGTAAATTTAGACTTAAAAATAATCTAGATTTTCATTTTACTTAACTTTTATAGATTACTTTTTTGTTACATTATGAAGTTTATCTGACAAAGTTAGTACTCTGATCTTTTTTTCCCCCCCAGTTCAAAACTAGTTGCTTTCCAGTTTAAATATGAATGCTAAAGACATTTCACAAAGCCGTGGTGCAGTGGTTAAGAGCTCGCTGCTAACCAAAAGGTCAGCAGTTTGAATCCACCAACTGCTCCTTGGAAACTCTATGGGGCAGTTCCACTCTGGCCTAGAAGGTTGCTGTAAGTCAGAATGGACTCGACAGCAACGAGTTTTTTGATTTGGGTTCTAAAATGTGCCAAGCTAAGTTGAAACCAAACGCTGACATTTTCTAGGTAGGAAGACAGCTTTGTTTGGACCTTCTCAGGTGCCTGATAACTGATGGAGCTAATGTGCATAAAGGCATACGGTATTTTAATAATTAGACCTTTTATGTCTGTTTTGTTCATGTTTTTCCTAAGTTAATCAAAGATTTTTTTTTAATGTCACTTTAATGCATTCTTTTTTTCTTTTTCAGGAACAGTATGAATTCTGCTACAAAGTGGTACAAGATTTTATTGATATATTTTCTGATTATGCTAATTTCAAATGAAGATTCTGCCTTAAAATATTTTTTAATTTAATGGTCAGTATATTTGTAAAGATCATGTTAATTTATTTCACAGTTGACATTAATATTCTTCCTAATTTCTTTGTACATATTTTGTTAAGCTTTACAGACCACTAGCTAAGCAACCATTAAATTGTAAATACCCTTTTTAAAAATTGGAATCATGTGTTTAGGTCAAATAATATCCCATAAATATATATCTCTGCTAATGTCAGTAAATATTCCCATTTTTTCATTAGATTCATATCATTCAGTTTCACACGTTCGGCACTTTGAAATGTTGGCAATCTTAATGCAAGATTCTATACCCAAAGTTCGTCACTGAGAAAACAGTCGAGGACTCAGAAATCAGCTGAAAATTCAATGTCCTAACACTGATTGTCCAACCCTGAGCAGCAGCATTTTTTCTTTTTGGAGGGGAAGGCAAGCTGTTGGCTGTTTGTGAAGATCCAACATACACAGGGAATTTTCTAAAGCTGCCAGTTTTGGCCCTGGTGATTTATTTTTCCATTTTAAAGATCAAAGAGGACTTTACAGCATGAGTGCAGGTCTAAAAGGCATTAGCGAAGTGTGTGGCTGTACAGTGATATTTAAAATGTACTTATTCAAGGCCGTGTGTGTGCAATCTTAACTAGGTGAGAAGACACCCAAATGCCAGGTGGTCCGGTTTGCCCATGGCCTTGGGGACAGCAAAGCCGCCATCCTGGCTGCCTTCCCCAGCACCACTTGCTGCCCGCCCCTCTGTCTGTGGCCTCAGATAGCCCTCTGAGACTCAAACCCACAGCACCCCTCTGCCGTGCTGTTCTGCCACAGCCACCTCTGCGGTCCTCAGCTATGTCTGTAGGCTCAACCAAAACCGTCTCCCATCCCAAACGTTCGGATAAAGCCGGACGTTTGACACACAGAAGCAAGGAGCTTAGGTTCGGGAAGAAACAATCGGGTGACCACAAGCAATTAGACTGTAAATTTTCTGAGAAGCATTTTGGTATTTAAAAATCTCTTGTAGAAAACTAAGATTGTTTGTAAGGGAAAAACAAAATCTTAAAATCTATTTAGATTTATATAGGTTTTTAATACCCAGCGCACAATATTTAATAAAAGAGAGAGAAATCCTTAATCTAGAAGTTAACTTATTTTTGGATGGAAATACTACTGAGACCTTTGACCCTGGATAGGACTGGACCCACTGCCAGACGCGACTGGCTGATGGGGCAAAAAAGGGGGAAAACGAGTGCCGAAATGTGTAATGTGATAACAGTTACCTTTCTATGACCATTAGGTACCTAGCAGATAAGCACAATACAAAAAAGGAAAAAAATAGAAGACATTTGGTCAAACTTACTAAAAGCATTTAACATGTGCAATTTTTTGGTACATTTTTTGCTTTTCAAGAGCGATAGAAAGGCCTTACTTGACATATTCACTGATGACTGAGTACGCCCTCCTATTGCAGTGTCAGCCCCTCTTCGTTTCTAGTGTGTGCAGATGCACCCCAGGGTAGGTGGTTATCTTACTAACAGTATCACGGGGAGCAAGCTTCTCCCCGCTCCTGCCAAGCCCCACCCGCGGGCGAGAGGAGGCACCCAGCCAAGCACACTTGGTGACGCCAACATCACCACCAGCCACACCCCTGGGCTGCCCTCTGTGATGCACCCCCTAACCCCTCTGAGCCCTGATTATGGGTTCTGATGGAAGGGAAAATGGAGGGTGCTCAGGGAGATGCAGCAGTGGCTGCCATTTGCTTTCACTGTTCAAGTCCCAAACCCAGAAGCCTTTCTTTGACTCAAGGGGAGGAAGGGAAATGCGCTTTCATTCAGTCCACAAGGCCGAGAACCAGAGCCGGCTTGTTCTGATGAAGGTGACGTGACATTAGCCATTTGTTTGCGATTTCAAAGTCAAATCCGAGGGGCATGGATCTTGGTCCACATTTAGGAGCCCTTACCTGGAACCGTTTAGGTCCTTTGATGGACTGACTTGCATCTCTTGTATCAAGAAGTCCCTTTAAGGCAGACCTTCTCAGGAGTGTCCTCAGGAAAGTGTCTCCAGGTGTGTGTTCCCTGCCCCTTGGTCATCCCCAGGTGCCTGCTGCAGGGGTCCTGGCACTCAGTTCCGCCCCCTCCCAAAGGGGAAGCCAGGGTCTGTGGATGCAGAACTTCCTCCCCATCGGAGGCAGCACCTCCCCTTGCAGGGCCAGTATTGCAGCCTTGCAGCCTCTGCCAGAGGAGTCTCTGGGTGGCACAAAGAGTTAAGTGCTGGACTACCAACTGAATGGTTGGCAGTTCGAACTTACCCAGAGGCACCTCGGAAGTAAGGCCTGGAGATCTGCTTTCAAAAGAGCCCAGCCTGGAAAACCCTAGGGAGCGGTTCTACTCTGCACACATGGGGTTGCAACAAACAGCAACGAACAAGAAGCCTCTGGCAAGGCTGCCCCAGTTCAAAGAGCAGGTGCGTAACTCGGGGGCTCAGCTTCTTCTCTGTGCAGCCCAGAAAGTCTACCAGTCTCTGCCCTTCGGTCAAAGAAAGCCCACTGTACATACCAAAACTTTCGAGTTTTTCTATGTTGCATGCGTTAAAATGCCAAATAGCGATTGGAAGATGCCCGTTCCGATCGACCTGCTTACCGGTCACCGTGTGACCTTCCCTACTGTTTGTTTCCACGTGCTCGATGGAGGCGAATGCACACCCATGTTTGAAGAGGTATTTTTATGTGTTTTTAAAAACTTTTTAAAATGAGCCTGACCCCTGCGTTTCAGCATTTGGAGACATGTCCATGTTATATTTTTTTTTAAATGTATGATTACTGATACTTTTTGTTGTTTAACTAAGTTGTGTTTAATTTATGTGCAATCTTTATATGTATGTGTTAGTTTCCGCGCTCATATTTTCTGTTATTACATTTATAAGTTGATCTTGCTCTGATTATCATGCCAGTGAATGTTGCTACGTTCTTTGCAGATGCAAACTGCAAGATCTAATACATTCTGATGCAAGGATAAATCTCTACTTTGACCTTCAGCCTGTGCCTCTTTTTTCAGATCTCTTCATTTCATTTTTGTGCCATCGGTCCTTTTAGACAAGACATTCACTGCGGGGTGAGAACTGATTTATACAGGTACTTTATCTTAGGATTCTTAAAATGTTGCTCAAAATTACCACATGACCCAGCAATTCCACGTTGAGATGTAGACCCAAAAGAATTGAAAGCAGGAACTCAAACAGAAACCTGTACACCGAGGTTCATTAATATCGGCACTACTCACAATTGCCAAAAGGTGGAAACAGCCCAAACGTCCATCAACAGATGACGGATAAACAAAATGTGGTAGATACATACAATGGGATATTATTCAGCCATAAAGAGAAATGAGTTTTCTAAATTATGTTTGATGGTTGAATTAAAATGCTAACACTGTCAGATGTGGTTCTAAATTTATGTAGAGGAAATATTTAAGACAATTATATAAACAGGGGAAGGTAAAGGGATGTAAAAGGAGATAAGGTTTCTACATTTCATTCAAACTGGTAAATGAAGACACCAGTTGGCTGTGCTAAGTTATGTGTATATAATGTAATACCTATAAAAATAAAAATAAAAAACTCATTGCCATCGAGTCGATTCTAACTCATAGCAACCCTATAGGACAGAGCAGAACTGCCCCATAGGGCTTCCAAGGAGCGGCTGGTAGATTCAAACTGCCAACTTTTTGGTTAGCGGCTGAGCCCTTAACCGCTGTGCCACCAGGGCTCCGTAATACCTATAGCAACCACTAAAAAAGCTATACAGAGAGATTATAAATACATAAGAATGAAATTGTAAAAAAATTGTTCAAGTAACCCACAGGAAAGCATGAAACAGACAACAAAGAAAACAAAAAAATAAAATGGGAGACTTAAGCCCTAACATGTCAATAATGACATTAAATGTAAATAGCTTAAATACACCACTTAAAGACAGAGATTGGCAGAGTGGATTAAAAAACAAGACCCAACTACATGCTGTCTTCGAGAAACCCATTTCAAATATAATGTAGACATGTTGAAAATAAAAGGATGGAAAAGATATACCATGAAAACAGCAATCAAGGAAGCAGGAGCGGCTGTATTAAGGAAAACTTCAGAGCAAAGAAAATTACTGCCCTCGCTAATGTCTTAATCCCCATTGCTTTCTCAATCAGAAATACCACGGCCTTAGTGGAGGGCATGGTAAATTTAGATAAAGCAAAAAGCAAACGGTTAAACCCTGGGAAAGGCGCTCAGACTATTTTCAACTCTCATCACTACTGTATTTTAATATTAATAAAGACACTCGGTGTCAGAGCCTGACAGTTAAAAAAAGTGGGAGGGTGACCTGAGTGACAGCGCTTTCTGTGCACTTCACTCCTCATATCCTGGCCCTGGTTCACACGACCTCCTGGGTGGAGCAGATGCCCTTGTACCCTCGTCCACTTTGGCATTTCCCCACCCTCCAGGGCTCACCTGGTATCTTAGTCATCTAGTGCTGCTATAACAGAAATACCAGAAGTGGATGGCTTTAACAAAGACAAATTTATTCTCTCACAGTTTAGGAAGCTAGAAGTCTGAATCCAGGGTGCCAGCTCCAGGGGAAGGCTTTCTGTCTCTGTCAGCTCTGGGGAAAGGTCTTTGTCATCCATCTTCCCCAGTTGAGGAGCTCCTCAGCACAGGGACCCCGGGTCCAAAGGACATGCTATTCTCTTGGCTCTTGTTTCTTGGTGGTATGAGGTCCCCCATGTCTCTCTGCTCCCTTCTTTCTTTTATATCTCAAAAGAGATTGGCTTAAAACACAATCTAATCTTGTAGATTGAGTCCTGCCTCGTTAACATAACTGCCACTAATCCTGCCTAATTAACTTCACAGAGATAGAATTTACAACACATAGGGAAATCACATCAGATGACAAAATGGTGGACAATCACACAATACTGGGAATCATGGCCTAGCCAAATTGATACACATATTTTTGGGGGACACAACTCAATCCATGACACCCAGCCTCCGCCAAAACTAAGCCCTAAAACTGAGCCACTGCTACAGCTGGTCATTGGCAGCCTGACAAGGGTTCACACCTGCTCCTCTTTCCCGACCCTGAAGGTGAACGCCTGTGAGCCAGGTCTTTCCACAGCTCCCTTTTCTAGAAACAGCACCCAGGGAAATGTAAGCCATAGCCCTGAAAATGTCAGGTAGAAGCCGTGCATCTGATCGGGTGGAAATGGCATGGGGTGTGGTGGGGAGGACATGCCTGGGCCCTATCTCCTGCAGAAGCATCAATTCTGACACTGCTGGGCACCTCCTTTCTGGACCCGAATTTCACTAACAGCCCAGCGTGCCCTGTGGAGCCCTGGGGCTTCACCTACCAGGTGGGAGAGGGTGGCCAGAGGCACAGACAGCTCTTCCCACACTCTGGAGGCAACCCCGGCCCTGCCCCCCATCTTCTCACTGAGGTCTCATCTCTGGGTCCTGCCCAGAGGCACACCTGCGGGGAACAGGTGTGCCGAGTTCATCAGGGAACCCAGGCACTCTGCTTGAGGGGGAACCTGTGTGTCAGAGTTCTCCAGGCTTCCGAGTCCAGCAAAGCTGCATTCCATCTGATACTCAAGTGAGCCCACTCCTCTGCCTCGAGCCTTTCCCGTGACCTTGTCTGGGCTGTCTTCATAAATCAGTTGACAAGGTCTTTCAAGCGGGATTCATAAATAAACCAATGCGTCCTTCACAGCTCCCAGGGCAGATGCTGAAGCAGGCTGATAAGCTCATGTGCTCTATCTAGATGCTTACACGGTCTTACTAAATGTGTTGCCATCAAATCGATTCCGACTCATAGCAACCCTATAAGACAGAGTAGAACTGCCCCATAGGGTGTCCAAGGCTGTAATCTTTACGGAAGCAGACTGCCACATCTTTCTCCTGCAGAGCAGCTGGTGGGTTCAAACTGCAGACTAAGCACACTTGAAGGCAGAAAAGTAAAAAAATAGCTTCTATTTACTGAGAATTTTCTATGAACGGATAATACTGACTTGGAAACAAGCGCATAGAAGTTACCAAACCACACGGCCAGTAAATGGGTATTCATTTCTCGTCCCCTGTTCTTAAATGTAAAATAAGACTAGTTGAATGTTTAATATTTTTCTGTCTGTTGTCCCCTCTTTCCAAAAAGTACTAAGTGAAGAATGCAGTGTGTGGGCACGTGCTTTTTAAAAAAGCTCTTGAATGAGCTTTTCTAATCCAACATCTACATCCCTATAAAATGAAGACCATCCTTAGTATGCTCTTGAAATACTGTACTTATGAAGGCGAGAAAATGTGCTAATATATTTCAGCAAGCTTTTGGTTAGAACTGAACCTTAAAGAGTTTTTTCATTAATCAGAATATGCCATTCCCCAGGCATTCTGCTAATTGAAATTTTTCTGAATGTGAGGTTCATAATTAGTACAAAATCTGAAGTGTTAGTAGAACAACTCAATCATAGCAAAAATTTGATTTTACAGCTCCTTGAATTTTGCCTACCTAAAATGACATTTGTGATTCACACTTTCAAACAACGTGCCTCGTTAGAAAATGGGATCCTGTCCCCCTGAAGTACCCTTCCCCCTTCTACTTTGGCATTTTGGCCCAACTCATCGGTCACCTGCCCTGTGAAGCCTCTGATGTTCCACTCCCCTGACCTATTCTATAGTCCTCTCTCAAGCGTAACCTATCACTCTCCGTTTTGATCACGGACAATACTTTTCAGACCTCTATTACAGCAACCAAACTAACAAAAATAACTGCCATTTATTCAACAGACCCTCCTAGATCCATGCATTCCTTCAGCAAATATTGATTTACGTGTCTGGGGAAGCCACACAACTTGTCCAAGGCAAGGTCATGGAAGTTCTATAGTCACACCCAAACTCCCTGCGGGACCAAATTACTGGGCTGAGTGCTGTGGGGACCATGATCTCGGGGAACATGTAGCTCAATCGGCATAATATAGTTATAAAAAAAGGTCTACATTCTGCTTTGGTGAGTACCGAGCATCTGGGGTCTTAAAAGCCTGTGAGCGGCCATCTAAGATACTCCACTGGTTCCACCTTGTCTGGAGCAAGGAAGAATGAAGAAAACCAAAGACACCGGGGAAAGATTATTCCAAAGGACTAATGGACCACAACTACCACAGCTTCCACCAGACCGAGTCCAGCCAAACTAGATGGTGCCTGGCTACCACCACCTACTGCTCTCTGACAGGGATCACAATAGAGGGTCTCTGACAAAGCTGGAGAAAAATGTAGAACAAAATTCTAACTCACATACACAAAAAAAAGACCAGACTTAACTGGTCTGACAGAGAATGAGGAACCCCAAGAGAGTGTGGCCTCCAGACACCCTTATAGCTTGGTAATTAAGTCACTCCTGAGGTTCACCCTTCAGATTAGACAGGCCCATAAGATAAAATGAGACTAAATGGGCACAACAGCCCAAGTGCAAGGACGAGAAGGCAAGGACCTTGGTAATGGGAAACCCAAGATCGAGAAGGGGAGAGTATTGACACGTCGTGGGGTTGGCAACCAATGTCACAAAACAGTATGTGCATTAACTGTTTACTGAGAAGCTAGTTTGCTCTGTAAACTTTCATCTGAAGTACAATAAACGCACACACACACAAATATACTGACTTCTGTGTACCTGGCTTGCCCCAGGGACTGAGGCTACACCAGTACACAGACAGGGCAATGCCCTTACAGTTCACATTCTAGGGGGTCTGCTCCATGTTGCCTGCCGTCCTCACCTCAACACAGCCAGGCGGTGCCCGTAAAATGCATCCCAGGTTGCTTCTTAGGAACCTGTGTCCAGCGAGGCGAAGTCACTCTTCAAGGGTCATGCTGTCAAGCAGAGATCCAGGACACAAACTCGGATGTCCACTGAGGGTGCCTTTAATGGCTCTATACTCCCAGGACTCACCCTTATATCGGGAGCAAAATGGCCCCTAAGTCTTGGATGAATAGCCTCCAACCCTCATTACTATTACGCCATGTTATTGTTGTACAAGGTGAAGTAAAATGGCTCCATTTATTGAGTTGGCCTTGTTACTCCATATGGCCCCAAAGTAACTTTTAAGAGGAAACACTAATAATCTAAAAAGTGGGAGACTGCCAAATGAAAATAGAAACCGTGCCTAAACTGAGTAATATAGCACCAAAGAGTTAACCAAATGAGGCGGCTTTTTATATTTACAGTCGTTCTGGGGAAATATCTTGTTATAAATTCACTCTACACTGACCATTTTGTCCCATATCTCCTCAAATGCAAGCAACCAGCACCACCCCTAGAGTAAACCACCCGTTACAGCGCGCGCAGGCTGGACCGTCCCCCTCCGGGCGGAACGCCCCTCCCCTCCGGCCGGAACGCCCCCTCCCCTCCGGGCGGAACGCCCCTCCCCTCCGGCCGGAACGCCCCTCCCCTCCCGCCGGAACGCCCCTCCCCTCCGGCCGGAACCCATCTCCCTCCGGAACACCCCTCCACCTGAACGCCCCTCCCACCGGAATGCCACTGCCGCGCAGGCGCGGGAGGAGCCCGGGGATTCGAAATCGGGCGCGCTCGGCTGCGATTGGCCGGAACGGCAGGGCTAGCAAGAAACAGCCAATGGGCTTCTGGCGCGGAGCCGATAGGCCGGAACCGCAGCTGAGGGCTTAGCTCCCGCGGGACTGAGGTAAACATGAGCGGCTGCGCGGCCGCCCGCCACGTCGAGCCCGATACTCCGCCGACTTCGCCCAGCCCACCACGTAGCCACGCCCGCTCGCGCCAGAAAAGGGTGGCGGGAGCAGGTTCAGTGGAAAGTTCAAGAAATGTAGGAGACACGAAGGGAAGAGAAGCTAAGTAAGTAGCCCATGGCCCTGGGACTTGGTGGGTTGGCGTGCCCTATGGACGCCCTTAGATGAGAAGAGTAGCCACAGTTATCCCTTAAGTGTAGTAACTTTATGACGTGAGCAGTGCCAGCTTCCCAAGTAGTGTATCCCCTCAAGGGACAAGGACACCAAGGGTGGGCTGGGACCACATGTCCTCCCCATTGTAAATACACATCATGTATCCCTTCATTAATATTGACTGAGGACTCGGTGTCGGGGATACAGCGAGGATGGAAACCCCTGCCTTTCGCCGTGTGATGGAGGACGAAGACCGAAACATAAGCAGTTCTGTACATCGTGGCCAGTGATGAAGTGGATTAACTGTGGGAACTGATAACCTGAGCGATTCATTTTTGCAAAGTTGAGCGCTGTACCCTGGCCCAAACTACCACCACCTCGCAGATGTTTTCAGCTTTTTTCTTCTCCTCACTCTGTGAGACCCGGAAATCTCCTTCATGGCCTCCATTCAGAGCAGAAAATTCTAAGCTTCTTTCTTGGAAAGACGGAAAATTTTCAGATCATTCACTTGTGAGCTGATGCCTCCTAAATCTAATTTTCAGATTTATTTTCACATCCCTAGATCTAACCACTGGGTGTCTCCATTTGTGTGACCCGTATGTGAACCGACTCATCTTTTTTTTTTCCACCTTGTCCCGTGTTCCACACCATCCACCAGTCGCCCTGTGTCGAGTTGTCCCAAGCACTCTACCTTTCCTTCCCAAACTCATCTACAAAGTCTGTCTTCTTCTCTCTGTCCCATCTTCAGTTAGGCGTCCATTGTTTCTCCTCTATTAATGAGCTCTCCCCCTAACCGGCCTCCCTGCATTGAGCTCCCCTTCTCCCATCCCTCATGACCATGCCTACATCTCCAGCCCACGATCTGTCACAACCCCACACACTGTGCGCCAGTTCCCTGAACATGCTGCTGCTTTGTACCTCGCTGCCTTTGTACGTACTATGTCCTTGCCCTCCTTGCTCCTTCCACTTTACGGCGAAAGTTCTGTACTTTGTCATCCCCAAGCTGCTGTAGGTGCCCTTTGTCTTCCTATGACACCAGTATATACACCTCTCTTCAGACTTTGTCACAGTGTTAGAACTAATAAATTATTGAGGCTTCTCAAATCAGCAAGATATAAAAGGTTTTGTTTTCCTCCAGTCGTTTCAACTGATATTTTCCCTTTGCATTCTGTAACATTTGCATTATTATAACTCAGGTCAGTTTCTCATACTTGACTAAATTTTATCTTGCCTCCATCCCATGCAAACTTGTTCGGAGACCTGACTGCTTAGGAAAGTGGTCTAGGCTGGAGGGACAGGAAGGGTCCGGCTCCTCTGGCTTTCTTTCAAGGCCTGTCTTCTCCAGCATGTTGGAAAAGGACCACAAAAGCAAACCTGTTATGCACACCTATGTTCACTGCAGCATTATTCACAACAGCAAAAAGATGGAAACAACCTAAGTGCCCAGAATGGATAAACAAATTGTGGTCCATACATACAAAGGAATACTACACAACTATAAAGAATAATGAGGAGTCTGCAAAACATAACACAGATGAATCTGGAGGACGTTATGCTGACTGAAATAAGTTAATCACAAAAGGACAAATACTGGATGGTCCCACTACAAAAAGTCAAGAATAGATATACACACAGAAAGCAACGTTCCTTAATGGTTACCAAGGATGAGAGGGAGGGGGAATCTCTAGACAGTATTTTTGGTAATGGGAAAGGCAATACCAAATATGGGTGAAGTCAGTACAACTTGACCCAGGTAAATAAAGACACCAAGAAGTACACAAGAAAAAGGGACAGTTTCAGGAAATACAATAGTAACAACAACCAAAAACTGTATGGTTATGTAGGTAGATATGTATCCATATATGTGTATAGGAACGCATATGCAAGTAAATGCACAGGTGTGTATAGGTGTATCTGGAGGCATATGTATGTATACACGTATCCTCCTCTATTTGAAAGCAGAGTGTTCCTATGAAACCTTTCGTAAACTGAAACAGCATAGAGCGAAGAAGCAATTGTCATTAATTTATATGGGAAAAATTTTTGAGCATTCCCAGACCCAAAAAGTAACATACCAAATCATACCAATCACACATAAACCCTTAAACAACACTAACGTATAGTAAAAGCAGGAAAGATATGCCCACAGACACAGTTCAAAGCTGTGGCAGCTTGAGGCTGAGAAGCAGAGTGTAGTTCCCGGGGAAGGAGCTTGGTGATGCCACTTTTGCTTCTCAGGATGTATGCTGCCTCTTTAATAGCTCACTGCAAAACAAATGCTGAACACTATTTCCACTTTTTGCGTTTTTTCATAAAAGCAAAAATCCTCTTCAGATTTCTTTGGATTAGCAAAAACAGGTACTAATGTAGGTCTTTTGTAAAAGCGAAGTGGCATAAAGCAAACCTTTGAAAAGCAAGGGATACCTATACACATTTGTGTGTGCTGCATATATATCCAAAGCCCCTGGGGGCACAGTTGTGGAGGCTTCCTAGAAATATCGAAACAACTGGCAGGATTGGTTTACTGGGTTAAAAGGCTTAGGCCCGTAGTCTTGGGGGACAGCTTAGTCAATTGCGTAACATAGTTCATAAAGATACTGTTCTACATCATAGTTTGGTGAGCAGGGTCTTGGGTCGTAAAAGTTTATGAACGGCCATCTAAGACGCAACTCTTGGTCTCTCGTATGGAGCAAAAGAGAATGAAGAAAATCAAAGTCTCAAAAAAGAAATTAGTGCAGACGAACGACAGCCTCTTCTAACCTGAGACTGGAAGAACTAGATGGTGCCCAGCTTCCACTACCGACTGTTCTGACCAGGGACACAACAGAAGGTCCTGGATAGAATGGAAGAAAAATGTAAAACAAAATTCTTATTCCTAAAAAAGGCCAGACCTACTGGACTGATAGAAACTAGAGGAACCCCCAAGACTATTGCCCTAAGATACTCTTTGAACTTGGAACTGAAGCCACTCCTGGAGGAGACCTTTCAGCCAAATAATAGATTGGATTATAAAATAAACAATATCACCTATGAGTAATATTCTCCCTTAAACAATACATTTATGAGACCAAATGGTCAGCATTTACCCAGAAGCAAAGATGACAAGGCGAGGGGAAGGAAAGCTAGATCAATGGAAACAGAACAAACTGGAAATAATGAGCATGCTGACACATTGTGGAAATTGTAACCAATGGCATGGAACAATTTGTATAAAAATTGTTAAATGGGAACCTAATTTGTATAAACTTTCACCTAGAACAATAAAATATTATTTGAAAAACAAACTTGTTGATTCTGACTCATGGCAATCCCACGTGTGTGGAATAGAACTGTGCTCCACTGGGTTTTCAAGGCTGTGACCAGGCCTTTTTTTCCGTGGCGCCTCTGGTTCAAACCACCAGCCTTTAGGTTAGTTGAGCACAAACCGTTTATACCACCCAGGGATCTCTGGAAAAGGACAGCTGTCTCCTTAATTGGCCCGTTACAGATCTCTGTGAGTCTGTCACACCTTCTGTGGCTTGTCAGTGCCCTGGGCAGGTGTACAAATGTTGGTTTTCTCATGGGGCACGTTGGATCTTCAGAATCTAATAACTGTACAACTCAGACAGTTTTGACTCCAGATCAACCTCCTCCTGCTTGACTCCAGCCTCCAATGGTACCCCAGGCTCCACCCAGCCTCTGCCGATGGGGCTCAGTCCCCCAGACGGCAGCCCTCTCCCTTCGATGGTGTCCACGTAATTCAGCCACAGGTGGTCACAACAGGGGCTTCTTTCCTACTTTGCCAGCTCCCTCCAGGGCCCCCTTCCCTGCTCAGCAAGCCTGCTGCTCAAGCTCGACTCCCTGGAATGGACCCCACTCCACTCTGTAATTCTGAGGCCTCTCACCCTGTCCCCACCTGATTTGGAAGAAAGGAAGCCTCACAGATTCTCACAGCATTCTTCTCCCGCTTAGAGACTGGTCCTGCCCACTCTTAGTAAACCTGGAGTTATCTGGCCTCATTGTAGCTGTTCTTTGAGAACCTGGATCCAGTCCCCACTCTAGGCTGGTGCCACAGAATTGGGTTGTGTGACCAAATAGTTTGTCCCCCTCAATGGAGGGTGAGTGCAGTCCACCTCACCTGGAACAGATGTGGAACTGCCCTTTTGCTTCCCTCTGTTAAGACAGTACTTACACAGTGATGTCCACACTGGTCTGCCCATTTACCTGCATCAGACTTGTTTTCTTCTAAAACGTGGACCATAATCAAAACCCTTGCCCATGGAGCATATTGTTCCTGATCCTTGCCAATGTCAGAATTCTTGCCAATCCCATATCCCTGGCCACTGTTTCTCAGATTTCTTGGAGTCATGAGGTCACAGAATCTCCATGGCCACCTTGTTGGGTTTTACATTTTATTTTAAAGTATTTATCTCACCTGGCTAGTACATAAGACAATGTAGAAGATTAAAACTATTATGTAAACTAAGATGTTATAAAGGAAAAGTGTTTAAAAGTAAAAGCTCCTTAGACTAGTAGATTAAATACAAAATATACAGAATGAACTAGTATGCAGAAAAGGGTAACTCAGCAGGCCTGGCTTTCAGACCTGCATATTCCCAAAAAAGGCGTTTTCAGGACTGGCTGCTGGCTGGCTCCTGGGAGCTGATCTGAGCCCTTCGAATGTTCTTCCTGATGAGAGCGTTTTTGTATGCCTGACACCTTG